GGACTTCGCCCGGGTATTTCTCCCCCTACTCTCATGCTAAGAAGCGACAAACAAAGCTCTTGTGTGAAGGATGTGTTCATACACCGCGAGGTGGGTGAAACTAGCTAGGGACAAACTCCCTTAGTCTATCAATGAAGGAAAATCAACAAATATAAGCTAGTAAAACTAGCTCTCTTAACCGTTAGGTTAATGATTGTGATTCATAGCTAGGGAACCTAGCCCTCTTCACCGATCAACAAAGAAGATTCCTAACTCTCTTAGTTAGCTAATTGAGAATCGTTTCAACAAGTTAGAAAGCTAACTCACTTAACCTTTCGGCTAAGGGTGTCAACAATAGGCTAGGAAACCTAACCCTCTCGACTAGCCGACTAAGGATTGCAAACCAAACCCTCGGAACTTAATCCGGTAGGTGGAGAGACCAATCTCGGTGGAATCACGACCCTACTCCGATACTTGAGATTTTGGTCTTAAATCGACCTAAAGGAAGTTACATAAGTGGCTAAGAAGTCTAGCTTCCTATTGGACCAAAAGGGGATGTCCACCCTCTAGGTCAATTTTACCCAATATATATTTTTTTTTTACCCAATATTGAGTTAAAGCTAGCACACTCAATCATTCATGAATAGTACCTCAAATATCATATAAAACATTCAATCAACACAATAGTGGGTAAAATACCTCGGGTACCACTTAAGTTTGAGAATTGGGGCAGACATACCACTTAAGTTTGAATAGGGCGTCAGGTACCATTAAAGTCGCCAAAATGTGCATCTGTCTAGTTTTCCATCCAACCCAAAATTTTAATTATTTTTTGGTACCCAAAAATTTTAAAAACATCCAAAACTATATTTCAACAAGTTTTTATCTAATATATAAATTTAAAAACCTTCTAAACATAATATTACTAAAATGACTAATCAAACTTGACAATAAAATAGATAAATTTGTAAAAATAGTAAACAAATATCAAGAAGAAGAATAAATATATAGAATATAATAATAAATATTTAAAATTAATTTTAGAAGATCTATTTAAATCACTAATCCAATTAGAATTACTATTAATAATAGTTAAAATAGAACCTAGTCGATCATCAATACATCAAGACCAAATAAGGATAAATGGAATCGAGTCAGAAAGAATTAAACATATTCCAGTAATTGAAGAAAATTTAGAAAAAAAAGAGAACGGAAGTAACCAAGTAATAAATAAATAAAATCTACAACATTCCGTGACAAATCTAGAAAAGAATAGGAAGAAAATTAGAATTAGTAAATTTAATTAATATGGAACATCTAAAATATAATATGAGAAAATTACAAGGATATTTAACATAGAAAATTATACAACACCAAGATGATGTACAAGAATTAAATATAACATCCTCAGATTATTTATATTGGTATAGAATTCATAGTATATATTTGCTTCAGCAAATTATTCGATTATTATAACATATAATGGTAATTGAAAATACTTATACTGATAATTGATTCTACATAACCTATTCAAAAATTGGTTTGGTATCAAAGGTTTCGAAAGAGGATTCCAACTAAATAGAATTCATAGGATATATTTGCTTTAGAGAATAATTCAATTATTAGAAAACATAATGATAAGTGAAAATACTTATAATGATAGTTGATTCTAAATTTTCTATTCAAAAATTAATTTGGTATCAAGTCTCCAAAAGAGGATACCAACTAAATAATAAAAATTGATGTTTTTCATAAGTCAAAATGATTTTTTACAATAAGAAAAGTAGAAGGACCAATTAAGAAATTTAGAAAACAGAATATTCCAAGAATATTCCGTTAACTTTAACGGAATGCACCTAACATTAAACTTAAGTGGTATCGCGTGCACAAATAATAGAGTTAGTGATACCCGACGCCCTATTCAAACTTAAGTGGTATGTCTGCCCCAATTCTCAAACTTAAGTGATACCCAAGGTATTTTACCCACACAATAGTTTCATGTTCTTACATATTAACACATAGAGAGACTATGATTCACAATACCCAAGTGAGTAGGTAGATTATTCCATAGCTAGACAAGAGAAAACAACAAAAGGGGAAGAAAGAACCATGAAGTGATGCCAATCTCTCCTCCTTGTTGCTTGAGCTACCCTTGAGATAAAGAAGTATTCAATCCTCCATCTAGGAACAAGCCCAAAGCTCTTTCTTCCTCCTTTGATTTGCAATTTCTCTCTCTAGAAGAAATCCTAACCTCTCACTAGAATCCTCTTTATTCTGAAAAATGAAAACCTCACCTAAAAATGAAGTTCCTCCCTCTTCTTCCTTTCAGCTCTCCCTTTATACTCAGATCGAGCTGAGTTCACAGCCTTCCAGTTCACGGCCGTGAACACCTAAACACGTTCATGAACTCAGTGTCGTTTCCAAAAGGCACCGCTTCACTCTCCGGGGTTCACGGTTTGCACTCAAAGTTCACGGTCTTAGAGACCGTGAACTGCCTGGTCGTCAGTAACCTCTGGAACCCACCTGGACACCTTGTTGTTCACGGTTTGTGGATCCAGTTCACAGCCTCAGAGGCCGTGAACTCAAATGCCAGGTCGTGAACTGCAGCTAATTCTTGGACGCTTTGGACTTTTCTTTGGTTTTGCACTTTTTGACCTCCAATCGTCCCGAACTTGTCCTCGGCCCTTCCACACGCGCTAAGAACTAAAATGTATCAAAAAAAGCACAAACTAGCGTGAAATATGTCGAGGAACGATGCAAAGTTAAACTATCAAGAAACGAGGGGCAAAATGGGTACAATTGGACCCGAATCAGGCCACTCGACCTAAATTCCTTTTGTGTTGCATATAAGGTTGTCCACTCACTCGCCGATCCATTTCTAGTTACTTCATCACCCTCGGAGCAACGCCCATTTCTTGACGAACCAAGAAACCAAATGTGTAGTCGCTCGCTCTTCCATATAAGCATAATATCGAGCCGTGACCGGCCGTACTAGTGAACTGATATGGATTTGATGGCTCTTACTTGAGCTTGGGGGTCCCTAAACTGGCTATCCTATATTTTGAAAATCAAGATGCTCTTGATATTGTTGCTAATCTAGTATTTCATGAATGTACCAAACAAATTGATATGATCCTAAATACCCCCTTGCACAAGGTTGAATTTCTTGCCAAAGTATCCATTCATGTTGAAAGGTAAAGGGGGTGAATTTGGCTAAGTGTTCAACCCGTTTCATGGTGCTTACTTTGGAGATTCATATCGTACATTTTAATCGATGGAAAAGCAAGGTGAAGGTTGGGAACTGAAGAACAAGAGTTTGTTTATGACTCTGAAGGATTGGTTGCTCAATTACAAGTCTTTAATTGCATGAACAAGTGAGCGCAAATTGTTATTAAGAAACTTGGAAATTGCCTGATTTTGGCCAAGTTTGGAGACATTTCGAGCTGCCTACTATGAGGGCTTATTCGAGACAACTGGTGTACAATAGAAGGAAGTTGGGAGTTGGAGGATGAAGCTGGAGACTTGATGAAGAATCGACTGAAACCTTGAAATCTGATTGGCTCGAAGCTCCTTGGAAAGCTTCGAACGAGAGCCTCAAAGTAGCTATGGAGGCTGAGTTCGTTACTTGCGCAGGAAGTCAAGTACTTGTGTGTTAAGCAACCTAGAATTCTTTCCTTTTATAGTTTGGAATTATGTTTCCTAGAGTTTGATCTGGATTTGATTCCTTGTTAGATTAGATTTCAATTTTATTTTGTTGAATGCTATTTAATGGCTTGAAAGCCTCGATGTAAATCTAGTTTTTTTGGGGATAATAGCATTTTGTGCCCCTTTACTATCCAATTTAACAAACGTGCCCCTATACTATTATTTTGCACAAACATACCTCTCTAATATTGTAATGGAACAAATATAACCTTCCATCCTCATTCCCGTCAGTCGGCCGTTAACAGACTTGTAAAATGACTATAATAACCTTTATTGACAATTATTGTACAACTCAATTTTAAGGAGAATCAAATAAATAAATAAATTTTAAATTATTATTTTCATTATCTTTACCATCGGTGAGTACCCTTACAACCCTTCAATTTTATCTTTTCGCAAAGCAACCACAACTGCAAATCTGATCTACCCCCAAGTCCAATTTTCTCTTCTCCCAAAGCAACCACATGTTGTCGCCGCCTGATGGAATCATATTAGGATTTTGGCGACTCTCACGTCACAGCTACCCCTGTCGAAAACTCCAAACCACATCTAAATAAGTTGTTGGAATTGAGAGAGGTTCTTTTGATTTTGGAGAAGGATCCATCGTCGACGAATCAGCTGCGGGGCGGGTTTAGTCGAGCAATTCAAAATTGAGGGAGGTTCTTCTGATTTTGGAGAAGGAAGCAGATTAGGAGAAATTACCGGCATGGAGAGTTTCGATTGAATGGTAAGAGGAGGTGGATGATATCGTGAGGTTTTGATACCATATCTAAAACGAAAAGTTAGAAAGAGGAGTTGAATTGGCCGACGGATTATTGTCTCTATGTTATCGGTCGAGCGGTTGCTATTTTAGGGTTTAGATCGAGAAACGGTGGAGGAGGTTGGGTTTTGTTGACGTGTTTTGTTGACGTCACGTGAAGGTCGCCACAAGAGAGGCGACGGAAGTAGAGGGGGAGCGAGATGCAACTCATCCGCGATGGTTTGGTGTTTCCGATTGCGATAGCTAGGAGGTGAGAGCGACCTCAGGCTCAATCTCATTCCCCCAAGTGTCGGCGGCGGGTGGTTGCAGGGCTATTCCTCGATGGGAATGGGAATGGAGAAGGGGAAGGAAGGGAATAATAATAAAATTAATTAATTAATTGTTGGTTTTGCTGTACATTAATTGACAATAAAGGATACTATAATAAAACAAACTTTTTAACGGTCAACTGACGAAAAGAGAGATCGAAGGATATATTTGTTACTTTGGAATAACAAGGGGCATGTTTGTGCAAAATAGTAGTATAAGGGTACAATTGTTAATTTGCAATAATAGAGGAGCATAAAATACTATATTAGGATTTTGGCGACTCTCACGTCACAGCTACCCCTGTTGGAAACTCTAAACCACATCTAAATAAGTTGTTGAAATTGTGAGAGGTTCTTTTGATTTTGGAGAAGGATCCATCGTCGACGAATCAGCTGCGGGGCGGATTTAGTCGAGCAATTCAAAATTGAGGGAGGTTCTTCTGATTTTGGAGAATGAAGCATATTTGGAGAAATGACCGGCATGGAGAGTTTCGATTGAATGGTAAGAGGAGGTGGATGATATCGTGAGGTTTTGATACCATATCTAAAACGAAAAGTTAGAAAGAGGAGTTGAATTGGTCGGCGGATTATTGTGTCTATGTTATCGGTCGAGCGATTGCTGTTTTAGGGTTTGGATCGAGAAACGGTGGAGGAGGTTGGGTTTTGTTGACGTGTTTTGTTGACGTCACGTGAAGGTCGCCACAAGAGAGGCGACATAAGTAGAGGGGGAGCGAGATGCAACTCATCCGCGATTGTTTGGTGTTTCCGACTGCGATAGCTAGGAGGTGAGAGCGGCCTCAGGCTCAACCTCATTCCCCCAAGTGTCGCCGACGGGTGGTTGCAGGGCTATTCCTCGATGGGAATGGGAATTCATAAGGGGAAGGAAGGGAATAATAATAAAATTAATTAATTGTTGGTTTTGCTGTACAATAATTGACAATAAAGGCTACTATAGTAAAAACAAATCTTTTAACGGTCAACTGACGAAAATAGAGATGGAAGGGTAATATTTGTTACTTTGGAATAACAGAGGGGCATGTTTGTGCAAAATAGTAGTATAAGGGTACAGTTGTTAATTTGCAATAATAGAGGGACATAAAATACTATTAACCTTTTTTAGAGTTAATGAAAACGTGACATTGTCACCAGATCCTTTTGTTGTTGGTCGTGTTCCAACATTGTTTGTGCTTCGTATCGATTGAAAACCACATCAATCGTGGTTAAGCTTCGGGCATAATCCAATCGAGCCTCTTCTCTTGTGTGAAATTGCACCTTTGGTCCGTTTTAGATTTTAATTTACATAATTCAATCGAGTTCTTCTCATTGAATCCCAATTGCGTGACTGTGATAATGACGAGTCGGATTTGGTTTGCATCACAGTGAGATTGATTGTTATTTTGTTTGTCAACGTGCGATCTCCATAACATTCTCCCAAGCAAAATACCACCGATCCGTTATCAAGTAGCTGGCATTTTACTAAGGGACTCGGCGGTGATCGTTTTGCAACAGACAATACCTACTCATTGATTCCCCATTCCACCAACACTTTCTCCATTCAGCCACCATCATCCCTATTTTAATTTCTTCCCACAACTTTTCAGTTTATCTTATCTTATGGGAAGCATGTGATATGATAGTATCTATTTTGCTTGCTCTTTGTGTCAATTTAACATGTATATAAAAATAGCAGCAGTTCATGCATTGCAATTAAGAGAGAAAACAGATTCCATCAATAAGTGATCATTCAACTTATATAGATTTGTACAGGCTTGTAACAAGGAATACACAATGCAATCGAGTGGTCTACTTCATTCCCAAGCATATATAGTTGGTTTGCCTTGTCAACAAATAAGCAAACTATGCAGAAGTGGTGATGTGTTTCAGAAGTGCATTGGTAGACTGATGAGCGAAAAACTTCTGCCTTAGTTGAACATATGGGTACCCTACAAAAGACAGGAAGTGGGCTGGTTTCGACAAAGACAGAATCTCGTACCAAACTTGCTTGTTCTCGTCCATTTCAATGGAGAAACGCTCTTCCCCAGCCTGCCATCGTCCCCAAAAAGAAAGAAGAACAAACTCCTCATGTCAATATTGAGCCGTGTCTTCTTTTTCCCCATCAATTGTCAATTTTGCAAAGAGTAGCAATTGAATACCAGTAAGTGACCCCGGAGCGTGCCACTGCCGAAACCATACGAGGCAGTGGCCTTCTTAGGATTCCCTGCATCGTTCACATACACCACCTGAAGCGGCATCATCAACCACGGCACAAACTCCTTCACACAAACGCAGAACTTTACCCCACTCTGAACTGGGGTTTTGTGATCCACGAACGCCCAATTGAACCCAAAATGTCTACACTAAAACAAAACCAGAAAACTCCCACCATCAATCATAATGGGGAGAACTCTTGTGTTTCCCATTACACGAAACTGACCAGCAAAAACACAACGTACCTCCATGTCTGAAGAGCCGACTTGGCCTTTTCGTAAGCTTCTGAACCAGAGCCAACTAAAACCCTCGCATGGTTAAGAGAGAAACCATCCTTGGCGAGTTCGCCGTCTTCTTTGAGGGATTTCAGCGGCTTAGCAGTGGCTCCCCTGAACTTGGAATCGTAATTGAAGCTACTGCACCTGGAAATACAGAGTAACAAGCAAAGGAAGAATGAACCCACTAATTCCAGATTAAAACAGGGACGAGGCAAAGCGGTAGTTGGGACAGCGAGACCGATAGATATATAATAATGTAATTACATCCGGAGGCAATCCTGCTGTTCCTGCGGAGACGGCCGCGACCAGCACAAGAACACCATCTTTGCGCGATGAGAATTCACAAGACTCTAACTACGCTGAAAACAATTTACCTCCAGTCAAGCTCCTAAGCTGCGAAAAAGCTTCGAACCCCAGCATCTGCGCCAGCAAATTATTCTGGAGCTTTGTGTGTTGGTTGGAGTGAGAGACAGAGCGAGTTTGAGTGGGCTAGCCCAGCCCAGAGTTCTAGCCCATTTAGAATGGCATAGTCCAAATTCTAGTGAGCCCGCGAACCAGTTCAAGTGACTTGATTTTGGACGGTGGTACTCTATTTTACCCTACCTCAGTCCGGATTGGTCGATGTGGCGGGTGAAAGGAGCTCCGACGTCCCGGCGATCGAGAGCTCGGCAGTTCATTGGCCTTCGTTGGATTTCCAGAACGAGACCACTAGTTGCGATAGTAGATTTTACGTCGTCGTCAATTAGGCGGTGTGGCCAAGCGATATGAAGAAATTGCACAACTGAAATTGTGTAGCGAATTCCAAATTGGGGGAGAAAAATGAAGAAGCCGTTGTTGCCGGCGAAAAAAGTATGCGGCGGCAATAAGCAAATTACTGACAGGGAAGGACTGGTGAAGCTATTGAGATGGCATTTCGGCCACTCCGATTTCAGAGGGAAGCAGTTCGAGGCGATTCAAGCTGTTTTGTCCGGTGCCGATTTCTAACTCCTTGGAAATTTGTTTCTCGTTGGAATCGTTTCATTTTTCTGTTTGCTAAGAAGAGATTTTTCGGCCGCTGCTACAGGAAGAGATTGTTTCTGCCTGATGCCGACGGGAGGAGGGAAGTCAATGTGTTACCAAATTCCTGCATTGGCAAAACCTGGGATTGTGCTTGTGGTTTCTCCTTTAATAGGTGCAATGCCGCTGTTCTTGCTTTTTGTTTCGTTGGTCATAGCTAGCTTGCCTGCCACGTAATATATGGAAACGTACTGAGTATCTCCTACTAACTATATTTCGGTTGCCTTTGGTTGTTTTCTATTTCCAGCTCTGATGGTAAGTCTGCTTCAGCTTTCTCCATCTCTTCCTTTTCTTTGGATTCTACATAGTGGGACTTTGCGGCATCAGGAGATTCTATTCTGATTGCTAGGAAAACCAAGTTACCGCATTGAAGGAGAAAGGAATCACTGCTGAATTTCTATCTTCAACTCAAACAATCCATGCCAAAACTAAGGTGCGGCTGTTCTGTGCTTGTGACACTTTTTGGGTGTCTGGGATACTGGTTTTGAGAGAAAGACATATATTAGTTGGCTGTCTGGGATACTGGTTTTGAGAGAAAGACATATATTAGTTGGCTAAGTTTTTCTTCTTCCAACTTTCAAATCGATTTAACACCGTTTAAAACATGTAAATTTAGGATTACAAGTCCATATTCTCTGGCATCTGATGTTCTATGAATTCGTTAGATTCATGAAGACCTTGATTCTGGAAAACCATCCACAAGGCTGTTATATGTAACGCCAGAATTGATTGCAACACCAGGATTTATGTCCAAGCTCAACAAGATTCATGCTAGAGGGCTGCTGAATATCATTGCCATTGATGAGGTGTGGTTTATTCACGGAGGTCTAATATTTTAAGTGAAATCGAAACTCAATTTTTTAATGGAAGGAGATGGTATTTGCTCTCATCTTTTCTCCATCGCCTCTAATTTCAGGCGCATTGCATTTCCTCATGGGGCCATGACTTCAGGTTGGTCATCCTTTCTTGGAATGAGCTACACTTGCATAATCTCATTACTTTGTTTCCTTCTTCCTCCATGGGGAAAATGTCACCTGCTTATGTTGTCAACATTTCTGTTTCTGTAACCTTGCTTGTCACATCGCATTGTGTCACTTGGCTCCAGTCAAATCCGACATGTCTATAAATTTTTTTAGGTGTTTCGGTACATCTAGTACCTGTTTCTGAAAAAAAAAAAAAAAAACAGCATGTTATTTTAGATTTTAGCTACTACTAGAATTAATCATGATTGTCTTGTCTCAAGAAAAAAGAAAAAAAATTGAATTTTGATTAATTCTAGTTATTCTTTTTTTGGCATAGGCCTAGCTATGGCAAACTTTCTTCCTTGAGAAACCACCTTCCAGATGTACCGATACTGGCTCTCACAGCTACTGCAGTTCCTAAGTACGTATGGTGCAGCAGTGCATTTTCTTTTCTGATTTTCCTATGATATATACCTGTCTACCCAAAGAATGAAAGAAAACTAGAGTATTGTTTCATCATTCATGATAAGAAAGCAAAGAGTGATGATGATTCTACTTGTGTTTTCCCCCCATTGTTGGGCAGAGTTCAGAAGGACGTAATAGACTCGCTGTGCTTGGAGAGCCCTTTATTACTCAAATCTTCTTTCAATCGCTCAAATATATATTACGAAGGTAGGTTCTGCTTGCTTATTGCATAGAACCAGAAGAGGTTAAAAGACAGTTACTGAAAGATTAAACACAAATGGTTCCTTGGTGGACCAGTAATACCAAGTTTCTAGTAGAAAGGAATACCATTGCCAAGTAGGACAACAAGCATTTCCAAATTTTTTGCTCATGAAATCTTTTGACTTCTACTTCTCTTAAGCATGTTCTTGTTGTCCAAAGTGAAAGATAAGAAGTCTCATGTTTTGTGATTCACTCACATAAGTTGGTTTGAGATTCAGAATTTTTGAAAGTTAATTTTGAAGTTTCATGTCGTAACAACTCTGATGCAGCTTAAGCTATTTCCTTAAATGCAGTTAGATACAAAGATCTTCTAGATAATGTCTTCAACGATTTATCTGCTCTGCTCAAATCCAGCGGTGATGTTTGTGCTATTGTTTACTGCCTTGAAAGAGCAACCTGTGATGAATTGGCTGCTCACCTCTCCAAACATGGCATTTCATGTGCCGGTAGTTAAAAAGTTTTTGCTCAGATTCTTCATCCCCCTTTATCATTCATTGATTATGTCCAGTTAGTAATGTAATCTTTGTTCTTCCTGATGTTACCTTCAGCTTACCATGCTGGCATTAACAACAACCTGCGTAGCTCTGTTTTGGATGATTGGATATCTTCGAAAATACAAGTTGTTGTAGCCACCGTGGCTTTCGGGTAATGATGACTGATCTTTGTTTCGTCCACATGTCCTTTGTATCGAACAACGTTTTTTAATCATTTTCTGGTTTTCCTACTTTTTCTTTCGAGTGTTTTCCATCCAATGGTCATTACTTGAGACAGCTATGTTCTTTCAGGATGGTAAGCAACTTTTCCTTTCAAACTCATTTATCGGAATATTTCTCATTTGAATCAAGCCTATTTTAGGGAATGTTGGCAATGACTAATGATCTTCCAGGGCATAGATAGGAAGGATGTTAGATTGGTTTGCCACTTTAACATACCAAAATCAATGGAAGGCTTTTATCAAGAATCAGGTAGAGCAGGACGTGATCAATTGCCATCAAAGAGCATACTATACTATGGCATTGATGATCGCAAAAGAATGGTATTTGTTTATTCGCTTCAACTTTTACAGATCTTCTGAGTTCTATAGCAGATTTAGACTTACTAAGTTTGAAGTATCTGGGCAGGAGTTTATTATAAGTAATGCTGAGAACAAGAAAGGGCAGTCTTCAGGTGGTTCACGAGAAGGGTCGTCAAAGAAATCCCTTGCTGATTTTAAGCTGGTGAGTGTCTCTATTCATGTTGTCCCATTGTCTGGTTAGTTCCAGCGCAGTTTTAATAAAAAATGTGCATGACATCATCTAGATGGTTGAATACTGCGAGGGTTCTGGTTGTCGTCGGAAAAAGATCCTTGAAAACTTTGGGGAAGAGGTAATAAGAATTCTTTCTTTTTATCCCTATAGGGTGTGTGTTGAACGTCAACGGTATCTTTGTTTCCTTGCATTTCCATTTAACAACAGCCAAAGTTACAGAACATTGTTGGTCCATGCAGGTGCCTCCGTCACTATGTAAAAAATCGTGTGATGGGTGCAAGCATCCGAACCAACTTGTTCAGTATTTGGAGGAGCTGGCAACTATAGCTGCTGGACGACAAAGAAGTGGCCTTTCACGATTATTCTTGTCCAGGTCTCTGCTTCTTCTCTTAACCAATCCAGTGTGAGCTAAGTCTACCAAAGGACACTAACCCTTCTTTGTGCCCTTCGACTTCAGCTCTAATGACAAGGTAGGTGGGGAACAGATGTCTGAGTTCTGGAACCGTGATGACGAAGTGAGTTGTTCTGATGAAGACATTTCTGATAGTGATGGTAATTCCTTGACACACCCCATCCTTCATCCTTAATACTTTCTGGAACTAGAAACACCCCTTTGATAGACTTTAACAATGGCTTAGTCCTACTACAGGATCTGTTAGAGCATCTACATTGGTAAATTTAACACTCGCTTAATCCAACTAGGATGTTATGTGGCATGGCAACCGCAAGTGCAATTGTAATTGGGCATACCTGCAAACTCGCAAGGATTGCTTATTTTGCAATTGCATTTGTTATGCCATGGGAAATTGTTATGTTTTTTACATTTTGTTTTCAAAAAATTTAAAAATTCTCTGGAATGGGTCGTTTCACAATTGAAATTGACTACACAATTTCAGAAATGTACATGTTTTGTAATTGTTTGTTAAATGGACCGCAGCTGAATGCAAGTCGAATACATGTAATGATAAGATTAAGTCGTTTTTTTTGTTCAATTTAAGTTAGAATGCATGTATTACCTTTTTCCTGGCCCACCCACAATCACTCAAAATGAATGATTGTCAATCTCTACAAAAAGTAGAGATTGTTAACAAGGGATTGTCTACCCTACTTTTTGCTCAATCATTATCTTTCCAAACAAGGTATTTTCCTAATACATGCATTGAATCAATACATTAAATAATAATACATGAATTGATTAAATGCATTTATTTGGAGAATCTCAACTTCCAAACATGCCCTTAAGTCTTACACACCCATTGTATTGTGCGCTGCATTTGCAGATGGTATTGAGAATGCAAAGAGGGAAGCTGGATGTAAGGCATCAAGAAGAGCAGGCGTCAACGCAAAAATAGAGCTGTTAGAGAGAGCCGAGGAAAGATACTACCGGAACCAGAATTCCGATAAACCATCTCATAAATCTGACAAGAATGCCATAACCGAGGCACACAGAGAAGCCAGTAGGAAAAGACTAACAGATTCCGTGAAGCAGGCTAGCCAGCGTCTTAGCAACTCAAGGTATATTGCAGTAGCTATTGAACTGACTACTCAAATCCATTTGCTTCCCATTTCTTCCGTTTTCAAGCTGAAGGAAGGTGGTTTTTTTTCTTTTTTTTTCTGGTTTTCGCAGCATTGAGATCGAAACATCTGCCAACTTCCTTGAAAATGAGTGCTTCAACAAGTACGGGAAGAGCGGGAAAACGTTCTATTATTCTCAGGTAGCAAGCACAGTGAGGTGGCTGGCAACTGCAACTTCTTCCGACTTAACAAACAGGCTTGGTAATGTCACTCCCACTTCCCCTTGCTCTTCCAAAGTACCGACCGAGGCTTCTCCAACGGAAACGGTGGAGGAGGGACGTCGAACAGGAACCACTGCCCCAGAGCTTCAGGACATTACTGCTGCTGCTGTTGAATCAGGAATTTCTTCAGCAAGCACTCCAGGGCCACCTGCTTCTGCCTCCACAAAACTCCCACCAATTCCTTCTTTTACTGAATTCGTGAACTGGAATAAACCTAATCACAAAAGCCGTACAAGACCTCTGGATGATTCCCAGTCTCCGAATAAGAGACAGAAGAAGACGTGAGCAGCAAAAGAGAAGAGAAAGGGCCTGTACTCTACATTGTCAATAACAAAGATCCCAGAAGCAGTGTTTTATATTGTTATTTCCGAAAAAGGTCCATCCATTATGAACTTTGGTTTTCCCCTGCTTTTCTAAAGATAATATTTACAATGCTTGGAGTTCTCGTCCTTCCCTAGAACTCCAAAACGTAAACAAACAGAAAAAAGAAATGAAAATTTCCGAAGAGCTCGGCCGGCTACGAGATACACCTCATGGAGTAGGTGGAGACAGGGGAGTCCATGATGGCCGTGTGAGCCCTGGGATGATCGCTCTCGATTCCGTAGTCCATCATCGGACGATCCTCCAAATCCTCGTCGTGATCGGTGACGAACTCTGGAATCTCCACCTCGTGCCTCCTGATGTGCTCCCACAGATAATCAAGGCGGCTTATGTATTTAAGCTTCCCGTACAACCTGGGATGGAAATTTTGGTTAAGCCGGAGAGGAGCAGAAAGATGACAGGAAAGGAGGACTAAGGAGTGCTGAGGAATTTTTCCTCACCCGCCGGAGAAGAGGAAACGGCCGAAGGTGGCGAGGAAGAGCCTAGCCTGAAGGCCTGGATGAACAAAGTAAACGGCCTGCAGATTGTCCTTGACATTGGCCGGTATGGCGTCGTAGACAGATCGGAGAGAAGATATTCCGGGGAAGTTATCCGACCTCTGAACCCCGGTGTGGAGGTAAACCACCGTGAAAGGCTTCCTGCTGAGCTTTGGGAAGATCTTCACCTCCAGATACTTCTTTAGCGCCTCAGCGGTCACCAATCGTGCTACAATTTCACGCGGAGGAAAAAAGGAAAGGCACACCACCATATGAGGGAGAGAAGAAAACCCTAATTTGTTCCAGGAAAAAACAAAGAGGAAACGGAAGCCAGTAGAGAAGAAAAGGGTCTTACAAGGAAAATATCTGCCGATAATCCGCAGGACCTTGCGGCCGCGTTTATCTCGGCCGCTGATCCTCACAACTTCCAGCTTCTCGAGAAGCTGCAGCTGTTCCGACTCCGAAATCTGGCCGCTGCTGCACATTCTCCGGTTGATTTTCTTTTCTGGTTTCTGGCGGGTAGAAACGGTTATATATGGTGACGATGGCGAAGAGGAATAAAGAAAGGGTATCGTAAAAGAAGCGGATGAGCGAATTTAAAGGGGATTGGGGGATTTGGGAAACAAGGAGGGAGGAGAGAGAAAGAAGAAGGTGAGAGACGCGGGCAGAGGCGGAAACTGAGTCAAATGTCAGAAAGGAAAGGGCGGATTGGATAGGATAGGGCAGAGGCAGAGGCAGACAGAGCGGGTTCGACTTCCTAGACAGAATATTCCCTCAAATATTCCGTTCTGGATTTGGACTTACATTATTGCTAGGTCTGTAAGACTGTAACTGATCCGCAGGAGTGGATTTGGTTGGTTATGGATAATTTTCCTTATTTAAATTTAATAGGAATTTATTTTTCCATTTAGAATATAATAAATTAACCAAAAAATAGGAATTAACAAAATTTGCAGAAGAATTAATTTACAATGTTCAAAATTATATCCACTTTGATATATTTCAAAATAAAAAAATTTGAGGCATATATTATAGTCTCTACTCTTTACCTTTACTCTTTACTGCAATGATAATGTTTGGTAGTAAAATTTTATACCATAAAACATGATGGTGTAAATATATTATAGTGTAGAGTGATTGTATATATAATAATAGGAATATTCTAAACATTATTTATGAGTTATCATATTACATCCTTGCCTGCCACCAATTATCACTCCATAAAATGGTGGTATATGTGGTTCTGGAAAAAAATTAATAAATTTAAAGATCAAAATATACAAAAATGACCTCATTCATTTTGTACAAATATTTCTAAAATTTGAGTTAAAAAACGTGGTACAAAGTATTACCAAAGTGGTAATGAGTAGTAATGCGTGGTAAAAAAGAGTTTCTCAAAATATATCGAAATTGAATATCATTTAGTAGATCGTTATGAACTTGTTCCATATGTTTGAATTTTTTTAAAACCTAGTTAAAGTAATGAAGATACAAGCCGATTAAAATGTAGAAAAATAATATGTCATTTAATATCAACCCTTATATCTTACCACATTCAAAATTACGGGATCAAATCTAGTTATACACAAATATGTGTATACCAATGAGCTAAACTACTCACGAGCGGCTTAATGTTCGACTTGAGAAAATCTCGTTCAACACTTGACTTGTTTACTAACGAGCCAAGTTTGTTCCTTGTTCAGTTCCCAAGGATGGTGAGCCAGCTCGACTTGGTGGCTTATTGAGCTCAACTCATGAGCTAACACATTTTGAGCTATGAGATGGCTCAACAATACAGGTAGTGAGTCACCTCAACTAGCATCTTAAAATGGAATCTATTAATCCCTATCATTGGCTTGTTAAGAATTCATAGGTTTGTTAGATTATATATCTCACCATATATGTTGTTTAAGAATTTGAAGACTAGATCAAATGTGCCTCGCTTAAAATTTAAATGATAAATTATGTATAATAGATTACTCAGATACTAATTAGTATTAAATAACTGGCTCACTCTAACGACAACTCTCAATCGAAGACCAAGTATAACCAACGACCGGGTGTAGCATAGGGTAAGCAAGTAATAACATTATCAAACCACGGGTCTCTAGATGTACATTACTTCGGCTTAAAGTTTCGTTATCTAGCCACCCTAGAATAGTGATTAAAATACTATCCTAACCACTACCCTAACAAATTACAAGTGGGGACCTCTCTTAGCTTGATTCCCCCTAGTTCCGTCATTTGGATCGATGTAGAGTACCATCCTAGTTTGATTGACTCGCTATTTCTACCGCGGCGAATGCTAAACTAGGTTGGGCCCCCTATTCGAGTGCATCCAACCCCACTCAATTGCGCTACCCGAAGTGGTGTACCGAATAACCGAGGAAGACAACTGAGGTGCTAACCAAAATTCCCACGATTGGGCTACACCCTCTTGTCACCACCCAATATGGCATTATGGACCCATTGTTTTCTTATTCAGGTCCAATTGTACATATTTTACCCCTCATATCTTAATAGTTTGACTTTGCATTTCACCGTCCCTCGACATATTTCACGCTAGGTTGTGCTTGTTTTGATACATTTCAGGTCCTAGCACATGTGGGAAGGTCGAGGACGAGTTTCGGGTCGATTGGAGGTCGAAAAGTGCCAAAGAGTGAAAAAACGTCCAACCTAGCGTGACAATTGCCCCGTAACAGTGAAGCGCAAGCGTCCATGAAGCAACCGCAATTCACTGTCCAGCATTGGAGTTCACGGTCTCCCAAGACCGTGAACTGGAACCTCAAACCGTGAACAGGGAGGCGTCCAACGAGGTTTCAGAGGTTACTGACGACCAGGCAGTTCACGGTCTCTAAGACCGTGAACTGTGAGTGCAAACCGTGAATCCCGGAGAGTGAAGCGGTGCATTTTGAAGACGAAGCTGAGTTCACGGACGCGTTAAGGTGTTCACGACTGTGAACAGAGGCCATGAACTGGGCTCTACAAAAAGTTGCTTGTATATACTCGATTACTGCTTTATATGTGATTCATGGTTGTTGTCCTGTGTTGATCATGTATAATGTGGTTTGAAATAAATGAATATTGATTGAAAATGGCTTGGGTGATTCTTGAACCAACTCTACTCCATTTGGTTAGTGTGATCACATACTATTGTGGTATTTGAAATGAGAATGAACTCATAATTTAGATTATGAGAAGCGTTTGGAGAAATTCAACTTTTTGAATTTGGAAGAATTCACGTTGAATTCTTGGAACAAATTTTGTTACCAAAATTTGTATGAGTTTCAATTCTGATGCTTGCAAGATGTAACAATTTGGTTTATGTAACAGAATTGTTTGAATTATGATCTTGAAGTAAATTGAAAAAATGGTGAAAAGCATTCCTCCGACATGATAATTTGTTTATCATGTACATGGTTTATGACTACATATTTCCTATGCCATGAGGGAAAGGAAAATGAAACTAAAATTGATCCTTACAAGGATTGAATAAGTTTGCCAAAAAATGGTGATCATCAAAATAATCATTTTCATAATTATTTATGGTATATGTACACTATACCATTGGAAAAACATTTTGACGTTTGATTATTGTGTAAAGCTATTTCTCAGAATTGTGTAGACATATACCATTGGCAAAGAATTTGACATGAGAGCTCAATTAAGATGAGCTCATTGAACTTAAAGTCTGAATTACTTATGGTATATTTATGAAATATATACCATTGGCAAGTAATTAGAAAATTGACTTAGAATATTCATTTGAATTGCTTGTGGTATGTCAAGTACCTTCGTGAAATGCCATTGGTAAATAATTAGATGGTATTTCCAATACAATCTGGAAATGCAACTAAATTTCATGTGGCATCTCAAGTAACCTTGACCAATTCCATTGGTAAGTAATTAGATGATATTTCTAATAATATCTGAATTGTTTGTGGTATGATAATTCAATTAGTCCATACCATTGGTAAACAATTAGATCAATGTAGTGGTTGTGAAAGTTTCAATAAGTAAAACCATTGAAAGTTCGGTAAGTGGTAAAATTGTGGGAGAGATGTTTGTGATGCTAGTTGGATAACAAGTGCTAGTGATTATAAATATACAACGGGTAGATTTTTACACTCGGTGATGGAGTTGTTTCTTGAGATCCGAAGAAACAAACATGTATTACACTCCATCATGGAAGACGAATTTCTAGCCCTTACGGAGGCGGGAAAAGAGGCAGATGGCTATGAAACATGTTGTTAGATATAGAGTTGTGGCCACAACTGATGTCAACCATTTCTGTCTTTTGTGATAGTGAGGCTACTTTGTTAAGATTTACAATGGTAAGTCTAGAAATATTAGCCTAAGACATGATTAAGTTAGTATTTGATTACTAATGAAATCGTTTCTATTGTGTATGTAAGATCAAACAATAATTTGATAGATCCTCTTACCAAGGGATTGCTAAGAGGCATGATCTATGAGACATGCCAAGGGGTGGGATTGAGATCTTTTGTGTGGTTAGAAGTAATGGGAACCCAACCTTTTCTTTAGGTATTAACTAATTAAAAGGTTCAATGTGGTAATAACAAGTTACTCTAACTGAGGTACTAATTTTATTGTACAAGTAAATTAGTCCAAAGAAGGGTGAGTTATAGAACTCTTGAGATGAGTTATAGAACTCTTAATGAATTAATTTGGAATGCCACCTATGAGAGAATTAAGAGTGGTGCCGCTCTAACAAAAGTAGAGGTCAACTTTTGTGTATGCTCATGAAAACGGACTCAACACATGACCATAATAGTGCTACCCTAGTTGGTGGTTGTGTTTTAGAGAAGAGACAAGTACGTGTGTGGCATCTCCAGTTATAGCTTTGGATCGTGACTCCTAGGCTTAAGCGCGTCACTGATTCGTTATCAACTTTGAGTTGCTTACACTAGGTAAAGGTTCAAATCGAAAAGATACCTTTATGTATGCGTTACTTGTTCGAGGCAGGTATTTTCAACTCTTGTTGACTAAGTGGGGGATTTTTAGAGTTAATGAATAGAGTTGTAATACCACATTGATGGGAGAAGGAAAGTCTAAGAATTGAGTCTTTTGGCAGTTTAATTAATTAATAAATTAGCGTTTGAATATTATGAAAAGAGGTATCCTTTCATAAAGGTAACTTCTCTTTTTTATGTGAAAGGATGTGTCCTTTCGGGAGAGGTAACTACCTTTTTCTGTGAAAGGATATATCTCTTCGGGAGATAACTTCTAGTTTTCACAAGTATATATAGAGGACTGCCATAACTCTTTTTAACACGAGACGAGAGAGAATTCTTCTTCTTCCCGTTTTCCTTCTCTATTTCATAACCACAGAAGTCTGTAAGATTGTTGCTTCCAGACTTAGAATTGAAGGGACTCCTGGGGGTGGTTTGCTCAAGCCTACCTACAATTTGTAGTGGGGGAAAATAACACTCTAAGGAGAGTGATCTAATCACGCCTTCAATCGTTTCTTTCCTACCAGTTCCTGGCAATCTTAGAGTGTTATTTTGCTATTGGAAAAATGAATTCTGGAGTAAAAAGTACATTGAAGGCGAGCATTCATTTGAGATGGAATGTTGCATGCATTGAAAAGAAAAGATGTCATGGTCCATACTTGCTTCTACTAGTTGCTCCCGAAGTAAAGGAAAGGAAGCATTTCGACATCGCTAAAATCGGGTAGCACCTTGTTCCTTTTTAATTCTTGGTGTTGAGACTGATCTAATCACGCCTTCAATCGTTTCTTTCCTACCAGTTCTTGACAGTAACAACACTAGGTCTAGATTTGGGTTTAATGTTGATGTATGCGACAAACTCCATGATTGATTGATGATTTTACTTAATTGATGGATGTTTTCATGAATGGCATGAGTTGGGTTTCCATTTTCATGTATTGAGCTTTTGACCTAGGAGGGAGATAATCCCCTTAGATCCCTCTTTTGGCGTCTTCGAGTCACTCTTATCATATATTGTTTGGGTAGTCTCCGAGGGAGTTGATTCGACCGGTCTCCTAACATTATACGAAACCCTAGGTTGAATAGAGCACTACCCATCCATCGATTCGCCATTCCGGGTCATTCACGAGGGAGTCCATCTCCAAACGGTAGTGTAGTTGAGTCGATCGAGCTAGGAGGATACCCAACATCAATCCAAAGAACGAACCTAGGACGATTCAACCCAAGAGAGCTCCCAACCTTGTAAATAGCTAGGTTAGTGGTTAGTCCAGGTCAGTTAGTTTAGTTTTATTAATCACTATACTAGGTTGGCTAGATAACGAAACATAAACCTGGAGTAGGGTATGCCTAGATTCCCGTGGTACGATAGATCTTTATTGCTTGCTTGCCGTATGCTACACCCGGTTGCCGGTTATACTTGGTCGTTGATCGGGGTGTTGTAGTTAGAACGAGTAAAGTTTTTGGCGCCGTTGCCGGGGAACCATTCTAGGTTATTTAAAAAAGGGTTAGGTCGTTTACTTTAGCCGTTTTATTTTGTGCTTTGTGTTTGTTGACCCACTCTTCTCTTAGAAGGGTGGTTTGCGTTTGTTTAATTTTGTTTTTGTGTTTTTGTTTGTGTAGGTTATGAATCATGGATCCTTACGACTTCACTGACATGTGGGGGGGTATCCACCACCACTTGAGAGTGGTTACCCCGGAGCTCCATGGGACAATCAAAATGGGGGAAGCCAAGGATCCGGGTTCTATTACCATCCCCCCTTCCAAGAGAAACAAGCATACCAATGGGGGTATCAAGAAGCTTCCCCATATGGAGAAAACTTACCTCCTCAACCCGAGGAGAAATCCAAATTGGAGTTGGCAATGGAAGCCTTCATGGGGCATTTCTTCAAGGCCATGTGCCACTCCACAACCGGAGCCTAAGAGCCAATTGGAGCTCATGGTGGAGCGGTTTGTTCGAGGCACCGATGAAGGGTTCTCGAACTTGGATCTCCCGCAACCCGAAGCGAAGTCCAAGTTGGAGCTTGCCATGGGGAATTTTGCAAGAACAAGCTCCAACACGGATTTCCAACCCCTCCCTCCTCTCGGTTTGACACTAGAAGAGAAGGTGGCACAAGCTTGTGCAAGCTATCGCCTCTCATTATTGGAGGAGAACGAGGAGGTTGATAGGGTGATCAATGAAAACCATATGGAGCAAGAGGAATTCACCCCGGAGAGCTCCCGTGGCGAGAACGAACATGAAGGTTGCATTGACGACTCCCATCATCTTTCCCTTCCCGAAAGCAACTTTGAAGACCAAGACACGAGTGTGGAGGAGCAAGAGAATCCCTTCTATGATCTTGCATGGCATCTTGCCCTCTAAACCGTGCTTGGGGACACGAATGGGAAGGAGAAGGAAGAGGTTGAAGAGGAGGAAGAAAGCATTGAAGAGGGGGAAGATCTCGAGTTCTCAAGGGGAGGAAATTGAAGAAGAAGGAAGGGAGGTTGAAGATGAAGTAGAGGAGCAAGTGGCGTCCAATATGAGGACGAGGTCGAGGTGGATGAAGCATCCACAAGTTACAAGGGCTATGAAAGCTTTCCACCCGACCTCGATGCGCTTTTGGAGAAGGACTCATTTGTGGCTCTTTGCCAAGCCAAGGCCAAACCATCGGCAATCCCTCTCGGTGGATGCGATGGTGGTAAATTGATGATGCACTACATGGTATGGGGCAAGGAGAAGAAGGAAGAAGGAAAGAAAGAGAGGTCTCGTGGGTGGAGCCTCAAAGCCACTCAAGTTCACGAGCCCTCATTCATGGACTCGTACAATGCTCGTGACTTGTGACATCACCTCATCGACGAAAACCTCAACTTCAAGGAGATCTAGGGTGGACCGAAACTTGAGGAGCAACCGTCCGGCTCACGATGTTAAAGAAGCGCTTGGTAGGAGGCAACCCATCTACCATCGGTTTTTTTACTTTCCACTCCAATAAGAAGACCATTGGAGAGATTTTGGTGGTGTTTCGCCGTCTCCTTGTTCTTCCGGATCTCGCCCGACCACCAATCCCTACCACCAACATTCACATCGTATCAGGTAACATCGCTCTACCTACTTACTTTACGTGTGGGGGTAGCCAAACTTAAGTGTGTGTGGGTGTGTGGGGGTGGGGTGTAGTCGATTATGCATGTTTGTGTGAATGATTGGTGTGATTTTGAATGCTTGGAGCCTTGTTGTATGCCCAAATTTTTAAAATTTGAGGGCTTCAAACATAACAACTTCTTCATTTGCATGATCATATAGTCACCTTTGGTGATTTGTTTTGAATCTTGTGGATATTAGCATGATCTATGGATGATTTGCTTGTGATTGTGTGCATCCTATTACGATGATTGAGACTTGTGTTAGATTTGTGCATAGATTCATTTCTCATGTGTTTGTGAGCCGATAGATGTTTTGAATCGATTATTTGCTTTTCACTGTTGCCTATGCATCAAGTTTAGGGAATTAGAACGAATGATTGAGCACCTAGGTAGCCATGTGAGACTTGTGTCGTTCGTTTCGTTCTTTTGCGATAGATACCTCTTTACATGGTGCGTAGCATTCACGTTGTTGTTAGCGAGGAAGATGGAGGCATGTTTAGTCCACGACCCAAATGTTGTCCGACCCGATCATATCATCCCTTAGTCAACCCCTTTGAGCCGTGTGTCTAAGGGTCGTTCTCGTGTTAGGTAGCTCACGCTACTTGAGCTTGATTGATTTAGATAGAACGACCCTACTTTCTTCGTGTCTACACTGTTATCGAGTCACCCTTGTGTTTGGAAGCTCCATTCACACCGTTTGAGCTTAAATGAGGTTCCACATGAGTGATTTGTGTATGATTTTTCTAAGAGTGAAAAAGTGAGTGCTTGGGGTAGTTTTTCAAAGCGAGCATTGTTCCTTAAGTTAAAAAAATGTGGCATGTGTATATAGCTCTCTATAGCCCTCAAAGAAAAGAAGAAAAAAATCAATAAAAGGGCAGAGAAGAAAAGAGAGTGGCTTCCAAAAATATAATAAATATTGAACATGCTATTAGAAGTGTTTCTTGGCATGCAAATTATTAAGACACTTACATGTTGTTGACCTCTACACTCTTGTGCTTGAAATTGACTAGAAAATATAGAAAGAAGGTATTTGTGACTTGGTTTGGTGATTGGTTGTGGTTTGGAATTGAGGGAAGTGTGGTTTTTGGCCGATACTAGTGGCCATTGTGTATAGGAGAGTGTTCTAGTCGAAACCTTAGAATCTTTTGTGGTTTTAGGAGGGAAATCTGGAACCTTATGCTATTTTGCCACCACACAAAAAGCCTTTTCCCCATGTCCTAGACCCTAGACAGTCATTTGAACCTGTGTCTAAGACCTCTGGACAAGCTAGCAACGATACCCATCTTGTGAACTCTAACATTTAGAGGTTACTGTTATGGCAAAGGGACGTTAGGATTGAGCATGAATATGCACATCTTTTGCATCAAATAATCCCGACCCCACATGTCGAGAGTGAGTGATTCATTCATCATGTTTTGTTCATTTTTTATACCCCGGTGAGGACCTAGGTTGCTCGATCATTCGTTCCTATGATGTGATCTTCATGCATGAGTAACTATAATTGGTGAGTCGTCGAGTCATGTTGTGTGTTGGTTTGTGCATAATATGAGAACTCTTCATTTGCACAATCTTAATATAGTTGAATGTCGTTTGTGGTGGCTGCCAAGATTACGTTGTTTTTGTCCCTAGGTCGGTGTCCAATAACCATTGTGATTCATTCGTTTTGTACCCTATGACATGCCCCAAAAATTTTGTTGAAAAAGAAGCTGTAAGCTTACCTTATTTTGTACTTAGTTTGCTTGGGTACAAGCAAACGTTCAAGTGTGGGGGAGTGATTCAGGTCCAATTTTACACATTTTACCCCTCATATCTTGATAGTTTGGCTTTGCATTTCATCGTCCCTTGACATATTTCATGCTAGGTTGTGCTTGTTTTGATACATTTCAGGTCCTAACATGTGTGGGAAGGTCGAGGACGAGTTTCGGGTCAATTAGAGGTCGAAAAGTGCCAAAAAGTGAAAAAGCGTCCAACTTAGCGTGACAATTGCCCCGTTACAGTGAAGTGCAGGCGTCCATGAAGCAGCCCAGATCACGGTCTAGCATTTGAGTTCACGGTCTCCCAAGACCGTGAACTGGAAGCTCCAATCGTGAACAATGAGGCGTCCAATGAGGTTTCAGAGGCTACTGATGACCAAGCAGTTCACTGTCTCTAAGACGGTGAACTTTGAGTGCAAACAGTGAACCCCGGAGAGTGAAGCGGTGCATTTTGGAGACGACGCTGAGTTCTCGGACGCGTTAAGGTGTTCACGGCCGTGAACTGGGCTCGACTTGGGTCTATAAACAACAGCAGAAGGAAGAAGAAGGATGAAAAGCAAAAGCAAAAGCAAGTTTTAATTCTCTTGGAAATTCAAAGATCTCGTTTAATTGATAAGCATGTATTAGTAATCAAAACAGTTTCAATAAGGCCAAAAAAAAATTATTCTTAAACAAAAGAGATTGAGCTTCCACTGTAAGGTTTCCCCGTTACGAATGGAAAAGAATTATAATTGATGACCCACTGTAAAGAATGTTTGCTGGAACTAAACAGGCAATAAAAATTGGATTACAAACTTAATTTAATGGATCCTCCCGATACTAAAGTAGAGTGCCTTTTCAAGTAGAAGAAGCGTGTTCATACGGGACAGTAGAATAAGAAACCAAACCTCTCTCTCACTTATCCCACCATACTCAACTATTGTGTGAGAGCTAATTATTTGGATTTCAGTGGGAGTATTGTCGCTCTAGACATGGGACCTAAATGGACATGCAAGTGGACCTCAATTCATTGGCTTCTTTTGCTGCATTACTTGGTGAATTGGATTTACCTGTAGGAAATAAGCAGCGTAGAATCATGCCTCGTGCTTTGATGAATAAAAAAAGAAAAGCATTACACTGACATCACTAAGTTTTACTGGATTTTAAAAGGAATCCAATAATAACACTCAAACCATAATTTATGAAAGTCAAAAGTACAGAATAAGCAGAGAAGAAAATACATGAACAACATGGTCACAATTGTTGAGATATTGGGATTTTGCATTTGATCTCCACCACTTTATCTGGCACGGTTCATCCTGCAAGTGACCATCGAGCTGACTCAACAACAAAAGCATGAAACATCCGCTTCCACTTGTTTAAATTATCATCTTAAATGTAACTAAACAACCATACAAAAAACACACAACCATTACTCAGATTGATGCATATCATCAAGGGTTAGAAGGTCGTCTTAGGAATAGGCCAGTGATGGTTTAACCCAATCCCAATATGCAACTGCTTGGTAGTGATAGCTTGAGCAAAACCCCTGCTTGCCAACAGTACACCATCACGATGTTTTGCTTTTTCTCAAGAGACAATACCATTGAAAATAAAAAGCAAAAACCCATTTTAAATTCATCATTAACTTATCAAATCTCCAAGTAATCCAGTTGACGTATTTTTGTATCCGATGAATCCATAAAAAAATCAAAGTCTGAGCATCAACTAAAACCCTAAAAGTAACAAAAAAAACCGAAAAGAGGTATAAACTCACCATTCAAGCTATCAATCAATCGACTATCCTTCTACCTTAGGCAAGCTCGTCGTCGACGATGATTTTTGCGGCTGATGAATCCACCACAAAACCAGCAAGAGTTTGTGGAAAGATAAAGAGACGGACTGGGAGCTGATTTCGGCGAAGAAGATAACGCAAGCATGGGAGAGCACAATGTATCAGAAGAGTTCTCCTCGTTTTCTCCTTTTCCTTCTCCTTCTCGTTCTTGTTCTTGTTCTTCATCTTCTTCTGTTTTGCTTTGCACGTTTTTTATTTTTTTATTAGAGCTTCTTTTGTTGAAAGAGAGTAGGGAGGGAGTAGGTTGGTTGTTGAACGAAAAGAGTTAAGGATGAGAGAGACGGTGATTAGTGATGGAGAAGGAAAACAAAATTAATTAATAAAAGTTAATACTCATTGGCTGATTTTAATCATAAAAATTACTTGTGATTGTACACTATGGAACAGTAAAATTATTACTTGTTCTTTTAAAGTAGCGTTATAGGTATAATATGCTCATTTATTTTGTATTTTTCTCAAACATGCCCTTCTATTATAATCACATCAAATCTACCCTTATATTATTAATCACATCCCAAACATGCCCTTCCGTCTGTTTTGCCGTCCATAATCGTTAGGTCTAACCAAATTATGTTCAACCCGATATCATGAATAAGCGGGTTAAATTCAATTTTACCCTCTTTATCTCTAAGATCATCGTTCCCAAAAATCTTCATTCACATCTCGTTGACTCATTCCCTCCAGCAAACCCGATACCCTGATGCCTTTTCGATCGTCTCCACCATCTCAATCATCTTACATTTGACTGTCAGCCACCACCTCAATCATGTCGTAGTCAAACCGACGGTGGCTTCTACCTAGGGGTGGGTATTGGTTTGACCAAACCGCTCCAAATCGCCCCAAACCGCTTATGCGGTCAATCCAAACCGCATCATTAAACTAACGGTTTCATTTGCGGTCTGATAGTTAAGTGCTTGGCGGTTCATGGTTCGGATTGACCCAAACCGCGCGGTTGCGGTTTGAAACCACAATCCGCTAAGATTGAGTACGCAGAAGTGAGAAGTTGAAACCACAATCTGATTGAGTACGCCTCTGCACCTCGCGAGCTGCTTCCGCCGTCGGCTTCGACCAGTCGGCGATCTCCCCGTCGGTTTCCGCTACCGCAGCAGCGGCCTCGTCTGCGAACACTCTGTTCCAGCCGTTTCCGCCGATCCAGTCTCCGTTCCCGTTGGCCGCTCAGTCGACGCCGATTCCACAGCCTCAGCAGCAGCAGCAGTCGGCCGTCTCTGCTCGCAGCCTGATCCGAAGCAGCAGTCGGCCTCGTCTGCGAACGGTAGAT